AAGTTATAGGTTGAGCCTTTTTAGTGAAATCAACAATGTAAAGATCACCTCTACGTATTCCAGTAAAGACCATTTTATGATTGTGTCTATGAAACACTTGGCAATCTACTTCAGTAAATAAAACATTGAAACCGAAATCAGCAAGTCTAGATACTGAAAGTAAATTGTACCCAAGAGATTCAACGAGCATGACATTTTGTATGGAGCTATCATGTGAGATGACCACCTTACCGAGGCCAACCACCTTACCCTTTGAGTTATCACCAAAGGTGACATATTTTCGAGGGCCGTCATTTTCAGCAAGCTCACGGAACATATCTTTATCTCCGGTCATATGATCAGTACATCCACTATCAAGAACCCATTCCTTTCCTCCAGCCATGTAGCCGCGAAGATTTGCCATAAGACCAAAGTGTCTCATTGCATCATTAAGATCATAGTCACTGTCATCCTCATCCTCATCCGAGTATCCATGTTCAACATCATCTTGTGATTGATCAATTCCTAGAGAGGGTAATTCATTAGATAAATGATCATTTCTATAGTTATCTTTATGAATTCTAACAGCTCTGGAAACGATATTGCTAATGATTCCAACATCTCCTTTGGCACTCATAAGATTAGTAAGCTCAAATAAGCAGTCACCAAATTTGGGATCATTGGAACTCATCTTAATCAAGGCAATAGACTTATGGAGGATTTCATCTAGATCATTCAAGGAATAATTTGGAAAGCGTTCCTCAAGAAATCTCCATATAGTGTAGGCACAATCAAGAGTAGGCAAACATTCAATCAAGTTTCTAGGCAAGCCTCTAGTGATAAGATTAACAGTTCTAAGGTTGCGGATCATGTCAATAGACTCATCAAGGGTAGGATGCAAAGGATCAACATGAGGTGCACAAGGGATAGTAATGTATCTGTTCAAATGATATTCATTGAAAATCTCAAGCATTTCATGTTTCCACTCATGAAAATATTCTCCATCAAGAATAGGCACTCTACGTCTAAGACTCCCCAAAGTAGACTCATCCATCTTCCTCCAATGGTGTTTAAACCAAGGCAATGGAGACCAATGCTCTGATACCAATTGAAAGGACCGAGAAGAGGTGTCTAGAGGGGGGGTGATTAGACACTAAGTACCAAAAGTTGCAGTTTTTAAATTCTTTAGGTTGAAGTGGATTTTTGGCACAAGTTTAACAAACACAATACATATCAAGCAAGCATGCAACAAGTATATGAGCAGCAGAAAGTAAAGCATGCAACTTGCAAGAATGTAAAGGGAAGGGTTTGGAAGATTCAAACGCAATTGGAGACACATATGTTTTTGTCGTGGTTCCGATAGGTGGTGCTATCGTACATCCATGTTAATGGAGACTTCAACCCACGAAGGATAACGGTTGCGCGAGTCCATGGAGGGCTCCACCCATGAAGGGTCCACGAAGAAGCAACCTTGTCTATCCCACCATGGCCATCGCCCATGAAGGACTTGCCTCACTAGCGGTAGATCTTCACGAAGTAGGCGATCTCCTTGCCCTTACAAACTCCTTGGTTCAGCTCCACAATCTTGTCGGAGGCTTCCAAGTGACACCTAGCCAATCTAGGAGACACCAGTCTCCAAGAAGTAACAAATGGTGTGTTGATGATGAACTCCTTGCTCTTGTGCTTCAAATGATAGTCTCCCCAACACTCAACTCTCTCTCACAGGATTTATATTTGGTGGAAAGAAGATTTGAGTGGAAAGCAACTTGGGGAAGGCTAGAGATCAAGATTCATATGGTAGGAATGGGATATCTTGGTCTCAACACAAGTGTAGGTGGTTCTCTCTCAGAAAAAGTAAGTTGGAAGTGTAGGTTCGTTCTGATGGCTCTCTCCCATGAATGAAGAGGTGGTGGAGGGGTATATAGCCACACAAAATCTAACCGTTACACATAACTTCCCAAACTCGATGGGACCGAATGGTTAAACTCGGTCGGATTGATTCAGCAAAGCTAGTGACTGTTAGGGTTTTCGGTGGGACCGACATGCAACTCGGTAGAACCGATATGATTAGGGTTAGGGCATAACATAATCATGGTGAGACCGATTACACAAACTCGGTGGGACCGATTCGCTCATTTCGGTGAGATCGAAATGTTACAAAAGGGAAACAGAGAGCTTACATTGCAATCTCGGTGGGACCGATCGCAAGTTTCGGTGAGACTGAAAGTATTGCAATAGGCAACAGCGAGTTTGTAATCCCATCTCGGTGAGACCGAGATCCCTATCAGTGAGACCGATTTGCCTAGGGTTTGTGGCAGCGGCTATAACATTTGAAACTCGGTGGCGCCGGATAGGAAAAATCGGTGGGGCTGAGTTTGACTTTTGGTTTAGGTCATATGTGGATGTGAGAAAGTAGTTGAGGACTTTGGAGCATATCACTAAGCATTTGAGCAAGAGCCTCATTAAGCAACACCTCATCCCTCCTTGATAGTATTGGCTTTTCCTATAGACTCAATGTGATCTTGGATCACTAAAATAGAAAATGTAGAGTCTTGAGCTTTGAGATTGAGCCAATCCTTTGTCCTTAGCACTGTTGAACTTATCTGAAACATACTAGATAAAAATGTTAGTCCAACAAGAGATATGTTGACATTAATTGCCAAAACCACCTAGGGAGCACTTGTGCTTTCACTCACTTTTATTACTTGTTACCTTGCTGTTTTTATAATTTTAGATTACAAAAACCTATATCTACCATCCATATTGCACTTGTATCACCATCTCTTCGCCGAACTAGTGCACCTATACAATTTACCATTGTATTGGGTGTGTTGGGGACATAAGAGACTTTTTGTTATTTGGTTGCAGGGTTGTTTGAGAGAGACCATCTTCATCCTACGCCTCCCATGGATTGATAAACCTTAGGTTATCCACTTGAGGGAAATTTGCTGCTGTCCTACAAACCTCTGCACTTGGAGGCCCAACAACATCTACAAGAAGAAGGTTGTGTAGTAGACATCAAGCTCTTTTCTGGCGCCGTTGCCGGGGAGGTTAGCGCTTGAAGGTATATCTTTAGATCTTGCAATCGAATCTTTTAGTTCTTGTTTTATCACTAGTTTAGTCTATAAAAGAAAACTACAAAAAAAATGGAAGGTTACCTCATATGCTTCATCTTTTTATGTCTTCCATGAAATTAGGATTCCGATAATTGTGCTAAAATATTAGAAGAAGAATGTATTAAAATGTTTGGCACTAAATCTATGAATGATGAGCATGATTGCAATGTTGTTAGTATGAACTCCTTGAATATCCATAGTACTAATGATGATTGCACCAGTCATGATGAAAATATCTCTTATAAGCATGTCAACTTTTGTGGAGTGCATAGAGTTTGCAAGTACATACCAAATAGGGAAGATAGATTTTGCAAGAGGCATAGGTATTTAGAAACTAAATAGTTGCAAGAGAGGCTAGATGTTTGTGCTGAAAATTTAAAATTTCTTCGCCATACTTGTGAACTTTGCAATGAACATGGTCATTTAAATCTCCAATGAAAATTATTTCATGATCGTATCGTGTCCAAAAATTGTGATGATTTGATTTTCCTTGCACATCATAATGAACTTAGTTTGCTTTTGGGTTATGAAGAAATGAAACGTATAACGAAGCATATTCCAGAATATAACCTTGAGAAATTCCTCGATATTGATCTAGAAGAAATTTTTATGTATTGTGCGGTGAATTGTTATATTGCCAATTACATAAAGAAAAGAAAACAAATAGCAAAACAGTAGCCGTGCTATTTAGAAAACTTGATTCATTTTCAAGCATAAACGTGAACAAAATTTCAATGTCCACAGATTCAAAAACCATCACGAATTAGAAAAAAGTTCATATATTAAAAAAAGTAGACAAATTCAAAAAAGTTCATCAAATTTGAAAAAAAGTTCACTAAATTTTGAAAAAGTTCATTGAATTTAGAAAAGTTCATCGAATTTGAAAAGAGTTCATTGAATCTGGAAAAAAGTTCACAGATTTAAAAAAAGTTCATCGAATTTGAAAAAAATTTCATCAAATTTTTAAAAAATCATTGAGTTTGAATAAAGTTCATCGAAGTTGAAAAGAGTTCATCCAATTTAAAAACAGTTTATCAATTTAGAAAAAAGGTTCACCAATTTTAAAACGCATTAAAGAAAACAAAAAGAAGAAATAGAAAGGATAAGACAAAATGAAAAAGAAAGAAGGAAAAAGTAGAACCGAAGTAAAGAATGATAGAAAAGAGAACAATAAGTCAACTACTGGGGCTTAGCCTGGTGATTGGAACGAAGCCTCACCGCGAAGTGGTTGCGGTTTCGAAACCCGGATTGCCCCCATTTTTTGCGTTCGGAAAACAAATTATATGGGCCGGCCCATCTCGGGGCTCTGCAAGCGCCCGTTTGCAGAATACACGTTAACGGGCGCCTGCTGCACTAAATAGGATTCGCCCCAGAAATAGATAGCAGCTTCCTAATTTTGAGAAACACCTGCCGTAAGAAAACGTGGTCAGGTCCATGGTGGTTTGGAAGCCCATATGTGTTGAGCGGAAATAGACAGCAGCTTCCAGTAACATCGGGCCAGCGCAAAACGCTCCGCAGTTTCCCGCTTCCTTTTTTTACTTTTTTCACACTGCCGCCAATTGTTTTGTCAGTCCCACCGCGCGCGTAGTTCAAACCCCCCAAAAACATCAGCGCGCCAGAAATTTCGACGGTTTCCCTCCCAACTCCCCCCTCCCGCCCCCCCGCCCCGCCTCCCCACCACTGGAAATAAATACAGGGAGCAAAACCGCTGAATAGCGCAAAGAGGAGAGAAGCACCCAAGCCCCAGTCAGTTCTCAGCCCTGTAGCTGCTCCACAGAGAGAGGCGAGAGGAAGCCAGGTGGGGCAGGGGATCCCCGGCGGTGTAGCTTGAAATATCTTTTGCTTGCTTGGTTTTGCTGATGGTTTCGGTGGTCGTGCAGGTAGGAGGCTCTGCTGCAAAGGGAGATGGCCGGGAAAGGAGGCAAGGGGCTGCTTGCGGCGAAGACGACGGCGGACAAGGGCGCCGCCGACAAGGACAAGGACAAGAAGAAGGCGCCCGTGTCCCGCTCCTCCCGCGCCGGGATTCAGGTTTGCCCGCTCCCCAATTCCCCCTCTTTCCTCTCTCTCTCTCTGTGTGTGTGTGTGTGTGCGTGTGTGTGTGTGTGTGTGTGTGTGTGTGTGTGTGATAATCGATAGTTCTATTCTCCGGACCGTTCTCGCGGGTGAATTGTTAGATCTCTAAGTGTTTCCTGCCGCTGATCTGGTGCCATGTTGCACCTTTTGTTTGTACGAGATTTGTTGTAGAATCTTATTGCGTTCTGTTGTCAGTATTGATTATCGATTTGTATGAGTAATGATTATCGGTTAGCTGGTTTGTTTAGGATGTCTCCCCCATCTTAGTCGTAGTTTAGCTGTTCTATTGTAAACTATGTCAGATCTATGTTTTGCACTCCTGCAATGTTATGACAGTATACTGATTGCAGGCTTCAGTACCATGCACTGGCAAAAGTTCCATATTTTATTGATCTAACTTGTAGCTGTACCTTTTGAATCCTACCCACACTTGTACCGTACTATTGAGGGATCCGTTTACGATTTTTTCTATATAATTATAACATTGTTGGAGATAGTCACGTGTTTTTGTGATGCAAGCATTGCTGTCTACTTGGTTACTTGAATCATTTGAGGGGATGTACTCTTCCATGTTATCAATTTAATACTGATGCTGCAGGATTCAGCATCATGCACCCTCAATCTCACTTGTTCTGTGTTTTTAGACCATTCACTTGCTCTGTATCTGGCACAGATACTATATTTTTGATCATAGTTTCAGCTTGGGACATCCATTATCAGAATTGATATCTTTACTGTTAATATTTCTGCATGTTTAAATTATGACCTCATCAATCGCCGATCATGACATGCTTGTGTGTTTGCACTATGCAGTTCCCGGTGGGACGTATACACAGGCAGCTCAAGCAGAGGGTCTCGGCTAATGGCCGTGTGGGTGCCACTGCTGCTGTGTACTCTGCAGCAATCCTTGAGTACCTTACTGCCGAGGTCCTTGAGCTGGCCGGCAACGCTAGCAAGGATCTCAAGGTGAAGCGTATCACCCCTCGCCACCTGCAGCTTGCGATCCGTGGAGATGAGGAGCTGGACACCCTCATCAAGGGCACCATCGCTGGTGGTGGTGTCATCCCTCACATCCACAAGTCACTCATCAACAAGACCTCCAAGGAGTGAATGAAATGCAATAACGGGTAGTTGTTGTGTGTTGTATCTTCGTGATCCCTTGTTATGTTGTGCTATCTGTTACGTGTTGCTATTATCACAACCTGAATAGGTTGTCTGAATTTGTGATTGGGCTAGCTTTCGGTAACTTGTTATTAGGTAAAGACTTGGCAAATGTAATCGTGATATGGAACTGCTCATATTTGGTTTCCTGAAGACTAGACAACCCTTGCTATTCGTCTTCATGGATATTCAGGTTTAACTTTTTTATTTTTGTTGGTTTCGCTTGAGATCACTGCAACTGGACTGCCTGCTGGCTGGACGTTTTGTTAGATTATGTTTATGTATAGTTTCTCTTGTGAAGAACAGATTCTTTGACAGCAAAATGGATGTTGAAACTTATTTGTTCTCATCTCTTGTGCATTCATAATCTGCTCCACACATCCTGTTGACCGTACCTGGCAGAGTGGTCCTTGGTTGAGGCTGTAGTGAACAGCTACAACGGGACTGGGTTTTGTCTGTCGATATTTTCTATGCGTCTATGGACAGTAGCTGGTCACCCCTTGTCATCCTTGCAACCGCATTTCTTGCTTTTAAAACATTAAGGCCTAGTTTGGCAGCAAAGTATTTTTTAAACTGTGGTAATTGAAAACCAGAGTATTCTCCTGGATGGCCAAGGAATACCACAGTTTTTTTAAAACAATGTTTTCCTCAGTTTTACATGTGTTTGGCTGGTGTTGTCTTATCAAAGTTTTGACCCAAGTATTTGGAGTGGATGATTGAGTAATTAGCGGCTGTTAACGGTGGCTGGCTGCATGCAGCCATGCACACGTTCGACTCGATCTAGCTAGATACCAGGATCTGTAGAATATGACTATCTCTGAAGCAGAAATAGCGATAGCATGTTGTGCTCTTCACAATTTTATTTCCAATAATGAGGGCGGCGAACAATGGTTGGACCAAGTTGAATCAGAGATTGATCCAATAAAAATAATTGATGTTCCAAGTGGAGATAAGCAGTATACAAATGATATACATTCTCTCAATGAGCGGCACTACCAAAACTATCTCAGGCGGAAGAAGAAATACTGCTTGAAGTTCATTTGTTTTCATTTTTTTTGTTTTTAGTTGAAAAGTGTCAAGAATAAAATAAATTCATTTGTTCTTACTATATTTTTTTGGTACTTTGGAAGTGTCATGACTAAAATGTATATCAACATTGTGCGGGAGGAATAAATAAATAAAATTCAACAGAGTTACTGTGCTTCCGTTATTCAGAATAGAAAGATACATGATCCTAATTCATGGAACATAATGATGAATAAATGGAATGGTAACGATTAAATAAAATTTATACTACTTCAGTATCCTTCAGACCCGCGGGGCAACGACTTCTTGGATAATCACGGATAGAACATCATCCTCCACTTCCATGAATGTTTGACGGTTTAGCATATCTGCTTTGAGATGGTTGATCATCTTGTGTTGATCATTTGGTGTGAGTCCCAAATTCTTTTTTTTCAAAACGGAGGCAAAAGATTTGCCTCATCTATTAAAGTAGAGGAGAATAGAGTTTTGTAGAGTTACACAAGGCCGAAGTACGGCATGACAATTACTCGCGCGATACAATTTTCCCTAATTGTTTAGCCCCTGCAGTAACCCATAGGTTGGCCTCATCTATAATAAGCTTGGCTTGCAGTTTGGCATGCCATATGGATCATTTTTTGGATCATTCCTTTCCATTTGTGCCATCTTGATTTCCTTGTAGCTATCAATTTGCTTCGTCTTCATTTCTTTATAAGTTTGCATTTCTTCCTCCCTCACGGAAACCAAGTTGGCCAACATAGTGTCCTTTTCTTTTTTCCCCTTACTTTTCTCACTTCCGTCATCAGATCCTTTAGAATTCCGAAGCCTCTTCCTTTGAGGTGAATCCACACTCGTTAAATCTTCTACTGCTGAAGCATGAATTTGATTACTCCCTAGAGGTTCTGTATATCCACCATATGATAAGTCAACATCATCCCCATATATATCTCTGCCCAACTCATATTCTGGCATTGATGATCCTGGAGCAGATAGTGTTGCCTCAGGAGAATTCATACCGGCAACCCTCAAAACATCATCAGTATAACTTCCATGTTCAGGAAAATGGGACACATTATTGTACCTCTCTTCATTACCATCGGTTGTCCTTTTGCAATGCTTTCCTTCTGCCATTTGACCTGTGTAGAAATGATGTAAGTAATACATAATATGACAGGAGCAATTTATATTTTTTATCATCGTCAGAAAAAATACCTTCGTAAATTTCACATAAAACATCATAATAGGGGAATTGTTTGTATCTCCACTTGCGTTGTTCGCTTGATAGCTCTGCCCATTTTTCATCTATAGCCGTTGGCACTTTGTTATGAGGATCTCAACCGAAACCACTCTTTTCTATAATAGACTTACAACATTAAGTTTCTTCTTCAGCCTTTGCTCTCTATCTTTCAGCTGTTGAACAGTGAAATTAGCTCCAAGAGGCCTCTCATTAAGGCGGTTTTTCATAGCTTGCCATCCTTCCTTGGTCCACCCATTTTGGCCATGATACCTTCCCACATTTGCATACTCTTTCATCATTGACACAAAAAAGCCAGTGCGACCATTATTCCATGTAGCTCTGTCCTGTTTTGGCCCTGCAAGCGTTCATTATAGTTAAATTAATCATTTTGCCTCTATCATATAATCTTTCGCGGAAAAAGGATGTCGCTCCCCCCGCCCACGCTCCTGCGCCGCGCCGCTCCGGCACCCGCAGCCACCGTCTCCGCCGCCGCGGCGCCACTCCTTCACCAGCCGCACCTCTCCCCTGCAACGCCGCGGTTTCCTCCCGGGTTCCCCACGCCAAGGTTTGCTCGGGACGGCCTCGTGCTCTCTCTGTTCCCACAGCTCGCGGGATCCACGCCAGATCCAGCCTCGCCGCCAAGGCACCCTCCCTCTTCAGGCTCTTCTTTCGGCCGGGATTCTATCCCCGAAGATCCACCTGCAGTTGCTGCTCTCGTTGCTTCAGATCCAACCCGGAAGGTCTGCTTTGCTGCCGCTGAAGTTCTGCTGCATCCAGCTCCTCTTGGGCTCGTCCGTGGCGCTCCCCGGTCATGCCTCAAGGCATCGTCATCTGCGCGGTCCAGTGCCGGCCGGCGTGCGGCGTGGACGCCCGTTCCTTCCAGACCTGCATCGCCGCGTGCTTCTTCGATCGAGCCGTCCAGTGGGGAAGCCAGCTCGGAGGAGGGTTGGAAGCTTGTTCGAGCTCCGTACTGGTGGAGAGCTCTGTCTCCCGACCACCGTCGTTCACCCCGACGATCCTTGCCTTCGTATTCCCCTCCAACCAGCAGAAGATTCGTCAAGCTCCATCGTACGACCTGTCATCGCTGCCTGGAGCGGGGACACTGCAAAGTTGACTGCCGTGATCCCTACAAATGCCTGATCTATCGACAGAGCGGGCACCATGCTCGTCAGTGCACCAGCAAGACGCCGCCTCCACAACAAGACCGTCTCCTGCCACCAGCACCGCAGGGCCATCCCTCGCCTCTGCTGCCGTCCTCCCCGGACGATGTTGCCGAAAGGACTCCCCTCCGCCCGCGCTCGCACTCGTTGCTTCGCGTCCGCCAACGCTCAAGAGCTCACCCTGGACGTGCTAAGCAAGGCCAAGACTCGTGCGACGAGTGGATCCAAAAAGACAGCGACATCTGTGGCCGTCAAGAAGATGACAGGCTCTGTGGTCTGGAGCTCCCAATCCTCGACGCCCGAAGAATCAACAATGGATGTGTGCAACACCTTCGTGATGGCACTGTCATCCCGGCTTCAGGCAGGAGGCCCCGAGACCGCCCATCTGACATGACGCTGAGGCGTGCACGCTCAAGAGCTAGGTCTATCATCCCGCGCAACAAAGAGAACCGCGGAAGATCTCCGCCTCCTTCGCCTCGCACTACACAACATGACATCATTGTGCTGCGGCCGTCCCCAAAGGCCCCTGTGAACTGCGGAAGATCGTCGCCATCTTCCCCCCGCACCGCTCACAGAGACATCATCGAGCTGCGTCCTTCACCGACTGCTCCTGCTTGGCTGCGTCGCGCGGCACCGTGTCCGGGCTTGCAAGTGTCGCCGGAGGACCCGCCACCGGGCTGTCCCGCGCCTCGTCTGCTACGGCGTGCAACCACCCCGACTCCAAGCCCCCTCACGCCGCTCCACCAGTCGGCTCCTGGCTCCGTCACACTGCTGCACCAACATGCCGATTCGACTGGCTCTACTGACGAGCTCATGGCGATTTCCACTCCAGAAGAGACTCCTTCCCCTCCGGTCACCCCTATCCACATCCCTATGTCCACGCGCCTAGAAGTCCAGCAGGGTCGCCGCCACGCTCTCCGTTATTCGTCGCCCGTCAGCCGCCACTCCTAGCTGATCCAAGCTCCTCTCCACCTCGTCTGCCAGCGACCAGGAGGAAGACGCTCGCGGGCGTCTCAGGCTTCAACCTGACCAGGTGCAGCCCACGGCTACGTGCCAATAAGAGGGCAATGCCGATCGCAAAGATGGCAGAGAGGCTGCTCTGTCAGCGCATGGGCATCATTGATGAAGGCCAGCAGCTCACCGAAGATGCCATTGGAAAGTTCGTTGCCATGTTCCAGGGAAGGCTCCCCGACATCACTGTTTCTGCCCTTCGAGCCTTGTTCAACCTTGATTGTGACCTGGCGAAGGCAGTTGAAGATGCCCTTGTGGAGCATGGTGGAGAAGCCGGGCCGGAGCTGCAAACGACGGGTCAGGAGGTCGCCGACGAGGCGGCGTGATATGGACTGTGTTTGTTCCAGTCGATGTACTCTGTTCCTTATGTTAGATACAACCTCTCGATGGTTCTGGTTGTGCCCTTGCGAGGCGCATGGCGATGTTTGTTGTGGCTGTTGTTTGATGTTGCTAAACGTGTTGCTTCTCCTGGTGTTGTTGTACTCTGCTTCTTATGCTGGTCCAGCCAAGTGTAGCTC